TATCTAGTTCAAACTTTTCCTTCCTTAGCCTTAAGCTATTGCTTCTTCTTCCATCTGAGACTAAGCAATTCCCTCTTTTCATTTATCTTACTATCTTGATGATAATAATAGACTATGAGCCAGTCACCTCTATTCACTCTAAAAATTGAGTTCACTCTGCTTTTTCCTGCCCTCCTTTGTATTCTCTAGTTTTCTTAAAGCCTCCACAAGCAGGAGACTTAGCTATCAAAGTATTCTAGGTAGGCAGGCCAACCTATAAGACATTATTTAAAAAAAAAAAAAACAACACTCCATCACTCTAAAACAACTATGATGTAAAAATATGAATTTTTACTTTGAGTTATACCAATCCATGAACAAGATGTCCTATAGAGAAGAGAAATCCCATGCAATCAGTTTTTAGTTAAATGAAAATTTAGTGAGGAAAAAATGATTCTCAGATTTGATCTATTACTAAAATGCAGCTTGTCTCCTTCCTCAGTAATGCATGAACAGCCATGAAGTTTTGTGGCCTTTTTTCTTGTATATTCATGGCAACCACACAGCTGGTCAAAAAGTTTTCTTTGACCATGGTGACTTACTGTAGTGTCAAGGAGAGGTTGAAGGAATAATTTGGTCTCCATCCCAAATCATTGATTTTTGTCTGACATTTGACAACTGCAGTGTTGTGGTGATAACAATTTCATACAGTAACAATGTGGTGATAACAATGATGCGGGAGAAAATAGCGTAAGTATATGCTTTCCATCTTTCTGAATTATGCTGCATGTTATCAATAATACAGTTTGCCATAAAAACTTGTCTTTGGACAACAAAGTCATCTTGTGTAGCTCTAAGAGAAAATTTTCAAGTACTTGTATAGAATACTTACACAGTACAGCAATAGGTCAAAACGCATTTAAGTTAAAATGTGGCTTCTTCTGAGTTACTCTCACAATTTATATGAACCACAGTACCATTTCTGGCAATTCAGAAAGGACCATTTCAAGCAGTCACTACTGAGAGTCAATGAAATGGAACAAGCTCTTCAAAGTTTTGCCTTCCTTATGTTATTCTTCCCTTCTCAGACCTGGTTTATCTCTGCGAGATTTGCTCTATGCATCCTTTCTCTTGGGGTCTGGAATATATCTCTCTCTCTCCTGTGATTCAGTTTCTTTCTTAGAGTTTTCAAAAAGTCCTCGTGGGTAATTAGATGATTCTGGGACAGTGCATTGTGCCAGTTTTCAAGATATGTCGCTGTTAGAATCATAAGGGACTGTTCTGACCTCATGCATGAGATGAATACGGAATTTCACACAGTCACTTTCATGTCTAGCTTCTGCTTGGACTTTTTGTCTCAGGTGACTATTTACTTAAATACATATTCTACTATATCTTGTACTATTTAGGTGAGGTGTCAGAAAAATCTGTTTTAACATAACACCTATTTATTTAAACACCTTTTGCGTGCAGCTCAAATGTGTACTGCTTTCAGATGGAGCAAGAGGAAGGCAAACATATCTGCATCCCAAATGACTCTACTCTCTATGGTATAGATTAAGATGGAGTGGCTTGATTATTCCCTGCTCCTATTGCTGGCTTTTTTCTTCACTATGAGAGCAGCTGTTCAAAAAGTATTCTAGTGCAAGCTAGGGGAAGGTTGGTATACCAATCAACTGCAATCAGTTCTTTTTTTAAGTGGGTATTAAAATGTGTGGAATGAGTTGGCCACTTGGTGGCAAAGCTGAATGGCAAATAAGATGCAGTTCTGCTTTTTCAGTAATGCTTTTATTTGAGTGGCATTTATGGGAGATTTGAGGTAAACTGTCAGCTTTATAAAGGCATGCTGACTTCTGCCTGCAGGGCTGTATTTCAGTAATTGCACTGACTTCCAACAATCATTATGCTACTTGTGGTGCTTGTACAAATTGTTTGGTTTGTTGAAGACAAGAGGTAGTGAATCAAACAGCTTTGCTTTCATGTGAAGTTATATTTGGTAAGCAATGTGAGTGGATGCCCCTTCTAGAGTCTCTAGTGGTTTTAGAGACAACGCTACCTGAAAGCTTCAATAGCAAGCTAAGGGACTTGCATATAGTTCAGTAATGTGTCTCTCACTAACACAGGTTTTGTGTTGTCCTCATGTCAAATGCACTTACTCTATTTTGTGATGAGGCGAGGCAAAATATATTTCAGAAAACCAAACAAACATCAACACCTTGAGGGCAATAAAAAACTGAAGTAAATGTGTTAGCTAACTTCTCTAAGTGCTGTTATCAAAAAAAAAAAAAAAAAAAAGGGTAATTCAAATTACTTTTGAAGTTTTATAGAGAGATATGACATCATTTATTATTAGTGTATGGTCATGCCCTGATATATTTTGCAGGGCAGGCAGCAAGCAGATGTAGCAAGCCTGCAGCTATATGAGCCTTTTCTTTAGGTGGTGCCTGGCTATCACCAGAAGTATTTCAGCATGGTAACCCCTAGGTATATACACTCTGGAAGCTGATGTCATTTCCTCTCATCATGGCATCAGAACAAAATTATAGGTTGCTCTGAAAGTAATGCCTCTTATTTATTTCTATGAATCTACAGCAGCTACAAAGGGCACAATAATTCTATTTCATAGACCAAGTTCTCAGCTACAAAATACTATTTTTCAGCCTAGTCACAGCCATTAGCTATGTCTTTTCACCAACCATGAACAAGAACAGCATGCCATTCTCATAAGAATCTGCACCAGTGGAGGTGACCTTTTGTCATTGCTTCTGCTGCTGAAATGCATCACCTCACTGTGCTCACATTCACTGTTTGGTCTCCATCGATGTTCAGTAAGCATCAATGAATGTCAGTGGGTGCCATTTCTTCCACATGAAAGAACTCTAATGTCTGGTATCTGACATAGAAGTGCGTATGAAGCATTTTGTCAGACTGCCCCTCTGCTGCCATCTGTCAATGGCAACAAAATGTAATATCCTGTGGGAAGGTTCAACCTCTGCTGCCAATATCATCAACATCTGCCTCCAACATAATTAAGGGGCATTATTTTCTGAGCAGCCTTCGTAGTATGCTTTTTCCTCACTCAGAGTTCTGCGTCAGCCCGTCACTTCACATCCCTAGGGATGTGAAGGTATGTTAGTTGTGGGCTCAAGAGAGAAGGAAGCAACTGAAAGAGGCATGTCTTCTGCAGTTCTGCCTCAGGTGAGGTGAGGAAGTGACCTGGCTATACCAAGCAAGGTCTCAGGCTTCCTCTGTGTTTGGCAGTATATGGGACAACTGCATTTTTCTCTGTTGTTTCACACTGTCAAACATCAAAACTGCATTTATTGCTGAGCTTCACTTTATTCTAAAAGGCTCTGAATTTGTTATTCTATCCTTGTTCGAGCGTGTGCACTCCAAGCTAATTCTAAGACATTGGGAGCAATGTGTACTTACTGCCCTCCCAACCCCATACTCTCCCTGTATGTTCTGAACTGATAGATATGGATGATGATGAAGCAAATGAGCTTTTTTCCATCTAAGAACCAGACCCTTTAACTTGGTTGTACAATGACAGACATTTGCAGAACATGTGGTATGAAGTAGTAATTCCTACTACTGGGGAGCTTAGCAGTAAATCCAGAGTAGTGATCCTGGATTTCTTTGTGGTACGTACTCTAATGTATCCCAGCTTTCTGTGTGCATGCACACATTTAACTCGTGGGCAGTGAATTAATAGAATTATATTTTCTAAAGCTGTTTTGAAGTCTTAGGTAGTCCATTAATAAATAACCCAAATGGGCTATAATTCTGCTTCCCTTAAGTTTAGCAGTTGCTTCTGATGAATGTTTTTAATTTTAAAGTGATATTTCATTCATAATTTCTCACCTGGACTGTCTTGGTCATGTAATAACATAAAAGTCAAACCAAGCTTTTGGGTAAGTTATCAGTTTTTATACATTTTTGGTGGTCAAGCAGCTTTTCGTGCCCAACTGCTGGGTACTGAACCTCAGCTGTTGGTCTTCTCCTTTTGACCTGGATAGGGCAAGAGCAATGCTTTGCTGGGAACTTCGGCTGTGGAACCGTGTTTCCATAATTCCTGATTGGCTGTGGGGAGTAGCACAGCTCAGTACAGCTCTTACGCATTTCTCACTTATCAGCCGTAATGCAAAGCAGCAGCTGTATAGATGTATGCTGTGTTCGTGTAGGTATAGCTTTATGTACGTGCATAGATGCCTGCTCCATAGGGCTGGGTTTGTTGGCGGCGCAGTAAATGGGTGTTCCATGCAGAGGGCATTTGGTTGGGTCGGTTGCTCGTTGTTCTCTCGATTTTAGCCTGGGTGGTTCTTGCGATCTGCACAGCTCTGTACCGGTAGAAGTGAAGAGAGACGCTGAAACTAAGAGGAAAGCAACAAATACTGTTTTTGTTGTTTGGGAGGGATGGAGGGGGGAATTCTTCGTTTGTTTCCTAAATCAGCGATTTATTATGGAACGGTGGCAGAGCGCGAGCTGCCTTACGCGCACACGGCTACGGCCCCGGGGCGCCGCGGACACGGGTGCGGGGCGGAAGCTGCCCCGGCCCGCAGGCCCGCCGCCTTACAAAATGGCTCCTCCGGCGCGGGGGCGGCCCCGCGGAGCTCTCCATGGTGGCCGGCGGCTCCGCGCCGTTCCGCCGCCCCTCAACAGGGGCCCGGCGCCCGCCCGGCACGGGGGGGCGGGGAAGCGGCGGGGCGCTCCCGGCTCCCCCGCCGCCGCCGCGCCTCCCCCAAGCCGGGGCGGCCCGCGACGCCGGGCCGCAGCCCCCGCCCCTTCCTCTCCGCGCCGCCCCGCGGGGAGCGGAGTTTCGCCACGCTCCCTTACGGCCGCGCCGCCGGCTCGGCGGAGCCAGGAGTTTCGCCACGCTCCCGCAGTCCCCTCGTGGGGCGGCGGCGCGGTGCATGCCGGGCCCGGGGCGGACCGTCCCTTCGCTGCGCGAGGAGCTGGGAGCCGCGCCTGCCGCCATGTTCCGCCGGGCCGCCGCCGCCCGGGGCCTCTAGCCGCCCGCGCCCCGCCCGCCGCCCCGCGCCCCTCTCCCGCCAGCCCGCGGGCGGAGGAGGCGGACGAAGGCGCCGCCGCGCCCAGCAGCCGCCGCCGGAGCCCGGCAGCGCTCAGCGATGTCCGCCAAGGAGGGGAGCAAGGTGCTGCTGCTGCCGCCCCACGCCACCAGCGAGCGCGCCGTCAAGGGTGAGCGGCCCGCGGCCGGCGGAGCGCGGGGGCGGCCGGCCGGACCTCCGGCGGGAGGCCGCGGTGGGCGCGGGGACGGGCGGCCCTGGGCGGGGACCGCGCCCGCAGGTGGGGAGCGGGGGCGCGGGGCGAGGAAAAGCGGGGCCGGCTTTGTTCCGCGCGGAGATGCTGCGCTGGGCGCCGCCGGGGGAAGGCGCCGCTCGGCTCGGGTGGCCGCTGCTGGGCCGGCCCTGTGCGGGGCTGAGCCGGGCGGGCGGCCTCACGTAGCCCGAGGCCTGTGCGTGCGGCCCGGCCGCGCCCGGCGCCGTCTCGCGGGGGCTTCTCGCCCGGGGCGTCGGGCCCTTCGAGCTCTGCGGGGTTCTCTGCTGTCTGCGCGTCGATGCCGGGTCGTTACGGGCTGGCGGTGCGGGGGGAAGAAGAGCCGCAGCCTCTGCCGTTGGCGGTCGGTTCTGATGGACGGACTCACCTTGATCCGTTTTCTTCCTGGGCGTCAGGGTTTTACTGGAAGTCTCTAAAAGCCAAACGTCGTGCTGCCGGGAGGAAAAGGTGAAAGGTTTCCAAGCAGATCGCTCTGTATGACACTGAGGCTGTCTGGCGACCACAGTGCTGTGAAGCGCAGCTCACTGAGCGTGTCATCTTAGTATTTCAAAGAGAATAACCCTCTGCAACTGTAGTACTGTACTTGTTAGATTTAACCTTTCAGTTTGGATGATGCCATCAGCAATGAGCATTTCAGCTCTTTGCTTGCTTGGATGACAGGTAGCACCCAGAGGTCTGACATGGTGCTGCATTTGGCTGTGGCACTGTGAGCGTGGCTTTGGGGCAGCAGACTGGGGCAGCTGGAAATCTGTGGCTGTGTACAAAGCAGCCTGGTTGCAAGGCTGACATTCCTAAGAGCACACAATCCAACTGATTCTAGAAGAGAGGTCCAGTTCATTTCGCTTAATAGTTCATCTTAGGAAACGAGGAGAATGCTTTTCTCTTCAGCAGGTGCTAATTAAAGCCTCGGCAGCCTGTAGTGTTTTGGAAATCTGCACATTTCCCAGTGTGCTGGAAACCTTTGCTACCCATTGGGGATTGCTTAACCTGTTGATTTGTCTGAACATTGTGAGAATAGAAGTAGAAAACGATAGAACAGGCAAATTAGGGACTTGTGTTAATTAGGGCTGTTGGTGCTAAACTGTGATAGCGGCATTTAGGCTCGCTGAGGCCTTATACCTCTGCTGCAATCTGTTGTAACAAATATAATTTCTGCAGACAATGTGGAAGAACCTGCTGATTTCCAAAGACTCTGTAACTCTGCTTGTTAGGTGATGCCTGTGAATCTGGTTGCTAAAAGGGGTAGTTAGGGCTTGCTTCATTCTAGCAGGATCACAGCCTGAGGCTACAGTGTTTCTCTGAACATGATTGTATGAGATAGAGACTTTGTATAGGTAGGCAGGCCTTGGTACCTTCATCTGGAAGAATCGCAGCCAGTTCAGCATTCATACAGTGGCGTTTTTCTCTTCTTTCTGCCAGCCTGCCTGCTCTGTCCCTGCTGTGCCGAACTGTGGGGTTCTGGAGGGAGCCGGGCAGCTGTGCTGAGCTGTGTTCTTAGCATGAAGGGCAGATGGCTCCACCACCCCCTGCTCCAATGAGGTGCTGTGCAGCTTGAAATATTTCAACAGCAACCTCAGTGTAGCAGGATTGCAGGTTGTGTCAGGGCATAGCGGGTGTATCTGTGCAACAGAAATACATTTGTTGAAAGCATGCTAAAATGCGACATCTCTGTTCACAAATAGACGTGCTACCTCTCACATACAGGGAGTGCTCCCCATATTCTTACCTATGGCACAGCGAACAAATTACAGGAAAGGTGATGCTAGTTGAAAATATGTGGGTCCTCTGCTTTTGTCAAGACAGCACTGTGTGCCAGGGGACAGAAAATATTAATTTATTCTGATGAAAATGCATGGTGTGCTGGTGAAACTGTTGAATGGTTAAATAATGTCCTGTACTTTCTAATTCTTGAATGCTGAAGAATCATTGTAGAATTGAGAGCTTTTCAACAAAGTATCAAGTCCGTCACTGATAGTTATTAATGAATTTATTTACTGGAATACGTTTCTAGGAATCTTCTTAGGCAATCATTTTTTACCAAAATTCGAAAGCACTATTGGTTGGAAAACCATATAAGAGATTCTTGGATGCTGTCAGCTCCATTCCCAGAAGAAATCTGTTTGAGGCATCCAAGTTTTCTGCCTCTCATTGCTGAGGCATTTCTTTTATAACATCTCAGTTTTCTGAGAACAGCCACAGAACTTGGAAGAAAAATGCAGTAATGTTACCTGGTGTGTCTCTGCAGTAGAGCGTGGTCTGTATTTGAGCTCTCATGCTCTCTGTGCAGCTCATCTTCTGAGGAAGAAACATGAATTCAGGACTTAATGTTTGCTGGTATTTGCACTGCTTTATCTGTTGCTCTTATTTCAGCTTTTTCTTTCTTTGCTGGTGGAAAATGGGAAAAGTAACAGAAACTATCAAAAATAAGATGCTGTGAGAAATTAAATTCTTTGTTGTTAATACGTGTTGGCAAAAGTGGGCAAGAGATACTCACAAGAAAAAAAAAATTAGTTACTAATGATATGATAATGTAATAATTAAATTATTAGTTTAATTACATACAAATAATTTACTGATTAATAAAGCTAGGGTAATAATTAGGATATGGCCTCCTTTATATTTTGACCTGTATATTTGTCTACTCGTCTAAAAAATACCTGAAATGTAATCAGGTAGAATGTTCACATTGGACATATACATAACACAGTTGTGGCTTCAGACGCGCCGTGTGCCATCTGGCTGCACTGGCCTTGCATGCCTTCCAAATAAGAATTACAAATCGGTGTCTGTTTGTATTATAGTATGAAAAGCTCAATTTTTTTTTTTTTTTTTTTTTTTCATTTCTTAGTTAAGTTGTGTCTAAGTAATTTGTACTTGTAGCTTCTCCTTTAAATGGACAGTTAGCTGCAGGGTTGAAATGCATAGATTCACTGGAGGCAGGTGACAGGACGAGGGGAAATGGCCTCAAGTTGTGCCAGGATAAGTTTAGGTTTGATATTAGGAAATATTCCTTTACAGAAAGGATTGTTAAGCACTGGAATAGGCACCCCAGGGGGGTGGTTGAGTCAGCATCCCTGGATGGACATGGTGCTCAGAGACATGATTTAGCGGAGGGTTGTTAGTTAGGGTAGTATGGTTAGATTGTGGTTGGACCAGGTGATCTTTAAGGTCTTTTCCAACCTGAGAGATTCTGTGATTCTGTTTGTGGTGTTTGGTTTCCCCAGGCCGTCAGATGGCCGGGCTTCTGTACAGAGATGAGAAAAGGTACCTGTCTTCTTGATTGGCCGCTTTCTGAGGTGCCCTCTTTGTCTCTGAAGAACACTTAGTGTTGTGCTGTCTTGTGGAAGATAGCATTCAAACTGCTGTTTGTATTTAATGGCTCTATCTGGTTCTTCTGATTTTACTTTATTTTTTGATGAGTGACTACCTTTGGTCAACATCTGTGAAGAATGCTTTTCTGGAGATGGGAAACTTCAGGATACCTTTATTCTGGATAATAGCTATGATGAAGTGTGATAGGCAGATGGTCATTTTTTTAGCTATTAAATGATAGCTTATTGAAGCAAATCAACTACTCCACAAATCCCAACGAGAATTAGCTCATGATTTAGCCTTGAGCAGGATCCTAACTTAAGATACTAATAGCTACTTTTTAACAGTGATGTCCATGTAGGAGAAAAAGAATTGTAACATTTGACTTCAAAATAGGGAGTCTGATGTAAATTAAAAAGAAACAAAACACACAGATAAAAGGAGGGATGAATACAGGCAGCATGATAACTGTTTTGAAAATACAGTTAGGCCCTTAGAATGCCTTTGTGCTGCTGCCTAGCCTGATCCCAAACTGATTGAGAAGGGCAGGAGGCTATTAAAGAGAATATTAACTTTGGGGGAAAAAAAATCATAGTTATGATGTGGGAGAGAAAATGGAATGGAACAGAATTCTGATGAGTTAATGTTTGAATAGCCATATGTGTTCTTTCTCATTTTTTGAGGGAGTAATGAGGATGTATGAACTGTAAACACTAACAACAAGAAGCAAACAAAGAAACCCACGCCCACCTTAGTTTCAGTAGGGTGAGGCTTGGGGTGATAAGGCAAGAGCAGAAATCTGGCAACTACTTTCATCTGTGTTTGTGATGGAAGAGTCTAAGAACTCTTTCCCAGGTGTCAATTTTTATTTTTATTTTTTTTTTCTGAATGGGACTGAAGAAGTCTCACAGAAATGCAAATGGTTTCAGGACATACCAACAGTATGAATTTAAAAAAGCTTATATCCTGGGACCAGAAGATATTTTTCTAGTGGTGCTAATGGGATTTTTTTTTTCTTTGGGGTTTTTGGGTGCAAAATTGCTGATCTATTTTCTGTAGCCTGTGGCATAACTCATCTTCTGAGTCTGAGAAGTGGAGCACAGCAGAATTTTTACCAAGCTCCAGATTGAACTGAAGAGCTGTAGATCAGTGAGTTTAATTTAAGCAGACTCACAGCACTTGTGAAAGAGTAGACTGACTCAGTCCCTGGAGAAATATGGTATTAAAGAGGAATTGGTCCAGTTTTCATAGAAGGAAATCCAGAGGAATTTTTAGCATTTTTTTGGAGGAGCCAGTAATGTGATTGATCCAGGCAAAGCCATTGATCACATTCCCTCATCAGAGTCTTTGAAGTAAGTAAAGGAGGAAATGCCCTCTTTGGGATCAAAATTAGTTGGAAAGAAAATACATTGATGGGTAATAAACTTTTATACTTGAAGGAGATTAACATCTGTCTCTGTATATTCTTAAATTATTTAGAAAACTGAGTGAATAGCGAAGTAATAGTGCTTACTTATGTTAGTGAACTTCCAGAGCTGTTTCAGAAGGCTTCTGTTAGACTGAGCGGGTGGTTAGCAAAGCTGCAGGAG